TAATAAAAGAATGTTATACTAATGATCCAATATGCCCATGGATCTTTATTAAGAAAAATAGATCAAATTTTGTCATTATTGCAGTATATGTTGATGATCTCAATTTAATTGGAACTCCTGAAGAGATTCAAATTGCAGTTGAATATCTAAAGAAAGAATTTGAGATCAAAGATTTTAAAAACACAAAATATCGTATGGGATTACAAGTGGATCATTTTAGTAATAGAATATTTATCCATCAATCCACATACCCAAAAGGTATTAAAATAATTTTATATGGATAAATCTCACTCTTTGAGTACACTAATGGTGGTCAGATCCCTTGATCCCAGTAAAAATCCATTTAGGGCAAGAGAAAAAAATGAAGAACTACTTGACCCCGAGGTACCATATCTCAGCGCTATTGTCACATTAATGTACCTTGCAAATTGTACCAGACCAGATATATTTTTCTCAGTAAATTTACTAGCCAGATTTAGCTCTTCCCCCATAAAGCGCCATTGGAACGATATCATGCATATTTTTCGTTACCTTCAAGGGACTCATGACCTCGGTCTATTTTATTCGAGTGAATCTCGAATTGAATTAATTGGTTATGATGATGGTTATCTGTCTGATCCACATAAAGCAAAATCTCAAACTGGCTATTTATTCATTTCTAGTGGAACAACAATCTCTTGGAGATCTGCTAAACAGACGATAACAACTACTTTTTCAAACCATGCTGAGGTTTTAGCACTTTACGAAGCCAATCGTGAATGCGTTTGGTTGAGGTCTATGACTCACCATATTCAGAAAAATTGTGGCTTGATTTCTGATGATATATTAACTCCTACAATATTGTTTGAAGATAATGCAGCTTGTATAGCTCAGTTAAAGGGATGATATATTAAAGACGATCAGACAAAACACATATCTCTGAAGTTCTTTTTCACTCATGATCTTCAGAAAAATGGTGAAGTTAGAGTGCAACAAATTTGATCGTCTGAAAATTTTTTAGATTTATTTACGAAGGCGTCACCGACTACAACATTCAACAAATTGGTGCAAGAAATTGGAATGCGTCGAGTGAAAGATATAAAATAAAGTCCAAAACAGGGAGAGTCCATCAATACAAGAATGATGTACTCTTTTTCCTCACTATGATTTTTTTCCACAGGGTTTTTTTTCATAGTAAGGTTTTAACAATGCATATTCTTTGTATAAAGCATCCAATGGGGAGTATTGTACAACTAATATATACATCAACACTACCTGTCCTTCATGTGGATACATTATATTCATGTATTGTCTGTTGCTTCTCCTATATATATATATACGTAAATGAATTAAATGAAAAAAAATATCAATTAATCCTCACACGACTTCTCTCCCATAATTCTCTATCCCACCATCTATACTTATTACTTTTGTACTATATAGATAGTGCATATATATATATACTAGTGCTCTTCGCGTCGCTACGTTACTGTGTAAAACAGGTTGAGGATTGTGAAGAAATGAGCTCAAGCTTCCAATTGACGGCAAGATAAACCTACAATATTTGAAAAACAATTGTTGAAGGCATCTTCAGTCTCAATCACTTCATTATTAAACACATATGATGTTACATTATAGATCTCTAAAATAATACAAACAATTATACTATTGTTATGTACAAAAATAATAATAATAATAATAAATAATGGCAGTAGGATTCTGGATGGGTCTGAATATAAGCCAAACGGCCCAGAATTCGGGCAAAAGAGAGTCGGACAAGGAAAGATGACGGCCGATACGAAGGTCCGGCAAGATGAGGTCGGTCAGGACTAAAGTCGGGCGAAGAAAGATGAGATGACAGACGTGGAGGTCGGTCAGGACGAAGAAGGGAAAAGCGATACGTACTCAGGTCGGTGAGATAAGGTCGGGCACAGAGATCAGACAAGATAAGGTCGGGAATAGAGATCGGACGTGATAAGGTCGGGCACAGAAGTCGGACCTGATAAGGTCGGGCACTGAGGTCGGACGTGATCAGGTCGGGCTCGGAGGTCGGACAAGATAAGATCAGACACGGAGGTCGGTCGAAAGAGGAAGCCGGGCGAAGAAGGACGGCTGATACGGAGGTCGGTTGAAGAAGGACGGCTGATACGGAGGTCGGTCGAAAAAGGAGGTCGGGCGAAGAAGGACGGCTGATACGGAGGTCGGTCGAAAGAGGAAGTCGGGTGAAGAAGAACGGCTGATACGGAGGTCGGTCGAAAGAGGAAGTCGGGCGAAGAAGAACGGCTGATATGAAGGTCGGTCGAAAGAGGAAGTCGGGCGAAGGACGACTGATACGGAGGTCGGTCAAAAAAATATCTGTTAATTGGTCGCCTATTTAAGTAAACAGTAGTTCAGTCGCTTGGTTGGGGCGACCATTGAATCGGTCTCCTGATTAGGCGAGCTGTTAATCATGTGAGTGAATGGTCGGTCGTTTGGTCAGACAGCCTTGCAGTCGTTTGAAAGATGAGAGGGCAGACACGGAAGTCGGACAATATAAGGTCGGGCGAAGAAATATAAGATGGTAGACACGGAGGTCGGACAAAAGGAAGTCGGGGGAAGAGAAAGATGAGACGGCCGATACGGAAGTCGCTCAAAAAAGAAGTGGGCTTCTAAAGGCTCATTTCAAGGAAAGGCCAGGTAATCAGTCGCCTGATTAGTCGAGCTGTTAATCATGTGAGTGAATGGTAGGTCGTTTGGTCAGACGGCGTTGCAGTTGTTTGAAAGGTCGGTCGGTTGGTCGGTTGATGGGGCGATTAAATGAATTGTTTGGTCGACTGACAGGTCGGTCATTTGGACGGATGGGTCTTCAGCCTTTTGAAGGGACTGGATGGGAGTCGCTTGATTGGACGGTCATTTGGTCGCTTGATTGGGCGGTCATTTGGTCGCTTGATTGGGCGATTGATGAATCGTCTGGACGAATGGTTGGTCGGCCGTTTGAAGGGGCTGAATGGTGGTCGTTCGAGTGGGGGACTGATTAGTCGTTTGGTCTAGCGACCAGTTAGTATCTGGTTTGGTCGGTAGGTCAATCCTTGGGTTATTCGTTAAGTCCATTTAAGGAGGTAGGGTCCCCAGAGGCGGATAATTTTTTTTCTATTTTATTAAAAAATTATTTTCTACAAAATAATATATATATTGAATTGGTCAAATGAGAAGGAGGAGAACCGTCTAGTAGATTGTCGGTTGGGATAGAAAAATGAGAAAATAAAATATAATAAATTATATAAATATATATTTTTATTTCTGTACAACCAAGGAATTTTTTTAAAAATATTAAATTTTTTGTAATGATTTTTTAATTTTTTTAATTATATTTTGAATTTGAGGGAATTGGTCGGTTACCATTTGAAACTGTCGAAAATCAGATGTCTTTTATTTCTATAAGATCAGCCGTCCAGTTGGACGATTTTTTTTTATTTTGCGTGCCCAACAAATTCAAAAACCCCTGCATTAGTTTCAAATGCATTTTTTTTTATATATCGTAGCATTAGAATATTGTAACTAAGTTATTGTATTAGAGAAAACGTTACGATCTACAAAATGATATCCATATCAATATATTTTGTACAAGTAAATTACTACAAAATAGCAAATGGAATTGAAAACACAACTCTCAAGAACATCCGATATCAATCACCAAAAGTACAAAATATAAGCAAAATAACACTCTAGGACTTCGAACAATTGCATTTTTACAACACAACAACAAAGCTAAATAATAAATAAATGAAAAAAAAAGTACAAAAGTCATATCATGTAGGCATTCGTACAACTACTCATATGTATGTCTTTGATAATCTACATACTTGCATTTCTCAATATAAACATCAGCATATGCATATCTTATATACATAATAATATCCAAACCCGTCCCGTAAAGGATGGTCTGATGGTATAGTGGTTGGATTTCTAACCATCCCCATGCCTCAGGTCACCTGACACACATGTTTTACCTAGTGCTCACCCTTTCGCACGTACCGCGTACCATTTTTTGTGTTCTATATTATTATGATTACATAACATGTACTACTATTATTGAAAATTTTAGCAGTTAAAAAAAATTAAAATTATTGGTGGGATACATTTTTATTGATGATCTAAAAAAAAAGAATACCATCACATAAATTTTAAAGTATTTTATTTATATTAGTACGTTGATTTCATAATTTTTATATTTTGGAAATTAATATTTGAATGGTAACTACTCAAAACAATCAAATAATTTATTTTTGTATTTTTATAAAAATATTGTCATGAAATTTTGGTACAAAACTTATAGCTTGTCGTAAACATACGTAATAAACTATAAAAGTATATATATATATATATATAATTTTATCAAATATTAATAGCCTTTATTAAAAAATTTAGAAATAATATTAATTTTTAATATTAATATTTCTTAAAATTATGTATTATTTGGCAAGGAAAATAAAAAAATAAAAATATTATTGGAGAATGACACAACAAAAGATTAAAGTAAAAATAAAATATTGTTGCATACTACCATAAAAATATTCTAATTATTTTATTTAAAGATGTTGCAGATATTTTATTTTTAAATAAAAAAATCGACACATCAAAAAAAATAAAAATAAATACATTATTTCATTTTAAATTATTGCCCCAGAATGCCATTTCTCATGGTAAAAATTGTGATATTGCATACTTTGGTGATAATTTTATATGTTCTTGGAGGCAGTTTCTAAACAGCAAGGAAGATTGCTATAAGCGGACTGATAGAAAATTTGCCTTAAAAAGGAAAAAGATAAAAATAATTTGAATTTAAAATATTTGAATGTACAAACCACGAAACCAAAAGAAACTATAGTGATCCGAAGGAAGAAATAAGCATAAATAGTGGATATGGAAGTGAAAGTGGGCGGCCACAAAGTAGACGATGGGAAACTACGACAAAATGGAAACCCAACTAATAAGTAGCTACTCACTCACTCTCAACTTCCTTTAATTTAATTTAATTTAAATTAATCTAATCTGCCTCTGGAACTGGATGGATGGATATATGTCTTCAACAGGATAAGTCCCCAGAAGCCGACTATGAAGCCCACAGCTATCGATATTAACCAGTCTTGGGTGAAGGATGAGGACGAGGAGGAGGAACTCATAATAAAACCATCTGCATCTCCGTCTCCCATGGGGCACACTACTGCCAGAGGCCTCCCACAAAGCCCAGCATTTCCGCCATACACAGATTCGTCGAAGCTTTGGAGTTGAGTGCTCCATGGAATTCTACCCGTCAGCCTGTTGTAGGATACATCCATAACTTGCAGGAAATTTAACTGTCCCAGCCTTGAAGGCATTTCGCCGCCCAGCTGGTTTCTCGATACATCCAATGATTCAAGCTTCGCCATTTCACCAATCTCTTGTGCTATCTTCCCTTCCAAGTTATTTCTCGACAGATTCAGGGAAACTAATTCCTTCAATCGAAAAAGCTCCCTCGGAATGCTTCCATTCAATTTATTGCTGGAGAGATCGAGCAGCTTGAGAAGCCATAATGTTTTCTGGTATTTTGATTCATTGGTTTTCCATTGCACTGATACATATGGATAGTCGCTGTAGCCCCGATCGCCCGACCTACTCAATATGTAGGGATAGTCCCTGTACCCTCGACCCTCCCACGACCCCAAAACAAAGACAGGACTCGGAATCCCATTAGTGAAGATGTCATCTGCGGTCGTCATTTGAACTAATGAGGTAATGTTATCGAGGCATCTTGGGACTTGTCCGGATAAATTGTTCATCGACAAGTCCAACACACGTATCTGAGTGAGATAACAAACTTGTCGAGGAATTTCACCATCAAATCCATTCTGCCGAAACACTAGATACTTCATCTCTTTATAGTTTGCACCTATCCAGTTGGGGATATGTCCCGCTAGCTTATTTCCTCCCACATCGATGAGCTGCAAATACTTGCAATTCTTCAATGCTAACGGAAACTCCCCCGACAGACCATTGTCATTCAGATATAATGTTTGAAGACTCCCTAAAAGGCCGAGAGACTGAGGAATTTGGCCAGAGAAGTTGTTGTTACCCAAGTTCAAAACTTTTAAATCAGTGCTCATATTATCCCAGCAGTTGGGAATCTCCCCTACAAATTTGTTGTATGAGAGGTCGAGCCAGCGTAAGCTACGCGCGTTGCATATAGGTGTGATCGGACCTGAAAGCTCATTATGCGAAAGCTTCAAGACTTTAGTATAATTTAACTGAGGTAGAGAACCAAAGAATAGATTCCAACCAACATCTATAATTGCCAGCCTTTCTTGAAGCAGATTAGGAATGGTTCCACGAATTTTGTTGTGGGAGATAAATAAGTTGGATAGATTAGTCGAAAAATTCCATATCCAACTAGGTAGTTGGTCCGATATACCAGTGTAAGAGATATCAAGTGTCACGATACTCCTCAGAACTTGTATCCATGTTGGGAACTGCGGATCGAGCTTCACATATCGTACAAGTAATGCCTGTAATTTGGTAGGCGGATTCCAACGAGGGGATATGTATAGCGCGTCGTTGAAGGATAAATCTATGGCAATTAAGCTGCCGAGATTCATGAAGGTGCTTTTAGATATATTTCCTTGTAGAGAATTATTCGAAATGTCTAAGAACTCAAGCTGCGACAGCCGGCCAAAGCTCCGAGGAAGCCTTTCTAGTTTATTATTTCCAAGCTTCAATTCTCTCATTCTACGGCATGAACTGAATTCCGGCACCGGGCCGCTGAGTTGGTTGTGTTCTAAGTAGAGATATTCCATTGCATTGCAAGAAAGATTCCCAATTAGTTCCACCAGCGGTTGTCTTAGTTGATTCCAAGACAGATCCAAGGTAATTAGATTACTACTACTATTACTATGACTATGATTTTCTAATGACGTAGGAACTACTACTACTACACCTTCAAGCTTGTTATAGGAAAGAAGAAGTTTCTCAAGAGAAGTCAAATTTCTGATGAGGGAATCTGGAATCAATCCGTCTAACTGATTCCTCGAGACATCGATGCTAATCAGAGTCTTGATGTTAGATAGCCAGTGTAATGTGGCTAGAGTGAGAAAATTGAATGAAAGATCCACCGTGGAAAGAGTAGAGGAAGAATTCATAAGAAACTCTTTGGAAGATGATTCTCCGTCATTGAGCTGGCAATTACTCAATCGTAGCAGCTTCAAGGAGTGGATCATGAGCATCTTTTGAGGCCAGTTTGCATCGTGGATTCTATTACCGGATAAAACAAGATCCGACAAGGAAGGGAGTCGGGACAACCAACTGAGGTTTTCAAATGTGAGTGAGTTGTAGGATAGATCAAGTAGGACTAAGTTTGTGAGGTTTCCAAGATTCTCCTCAGGAACTGTCCCGGACAAACCACAGCTGTAGAGGGTGAGATTTCGCAACGTTTTCATGGAACCAATGAAGTTTGGGAATGGGATTAATGATGTATTACCGATGCCACTCAGCTCAAGATAACTTAAATGATCTAATTCAAGCAAAGCTGGACTGATATGAATATGATCACCTCGCAAGCTGCCATTGTTGTCGACGATGAGTTTGAGACCAATCACATAGCCTGCATTGCTACACTGAACGCCATACCAGCTGCAACAATCCTTCTGCTGCTCCCAACTTGACAACATACCGTGACCATCATCATCATCATCTGTGAGCCCTCCTTTGAATGCCAATAGAGCTTCCCTATCCTTTGCAATGCACCTTGCTTCGATAATAATATCACAAGATCGGAGGGATAGCCAAACAAACAAAAGGGCCAACATCAGTTTAGCATCCATTATTATTATTTTATTTTTTTTTCGTTTTTTATTTGGGTTTTGAAAAGATGATTTTTAATCTTCAAACACTCAATATATTTATAATGAAGTTGAAATTATCAGCACATTATTACTCTAGTGGTTCAAAGAAATAGATTTTAAATACGATTTCTTTCTAAGGTCACTATCAAGAGAACCCATGGGAGGATTCACAACTGGGGATCAATAAAATATAGAAATTCTTGGTTTACTGACATTTGCAGTGTAATATCCCTTGGATATTTAATTGAAAATGAGAAAGATGAATAAATGAATTTGTCTTACATTTTATTTGGTTAATTTATTTTAATTTTAAAAAAATTAAGTAATCAGATAAACTAATTTGATACAACTAAAGGCAACTTGCTGGACAGTTTTTTCTCTTGAAGTGATTAAGTACAAAATAATCTAATATATAAAAAATATAATATATATTATATATTTCCTTTAATACTAGAAAAATTAAATCAATACTTAAATACTCTCTGAGAATTCTCTCTTCAAATTTTCTTAGGAAAATTATCTGCAATTTTTTTTTTTAAAAAGCCTTCTAGTTTGGTCTTCGAAATCTGTTATTCCGTTAACAATTCTTTCAATCCTGAGAGGCAATCAGTGAAATGTTGAATTTGATTCAAGAAAATCGCATGCCATGTGAGGCTCAAATTTGATTTTGCATCCTATATGATTTGTGTATTCGAATTTCGCCATATCTCATATTTCATTAATAAATTTTCCAACAATCTTGAAACGAATTTCTGTGAATAGAGATGTGAGAAAAAAAAAAAAAAAAACTTCCCCTACTCACGTGATCCCCAAAACCTACATGATGACAAATGAATGATCGACGCGATTGAGGCGACATAAATTTGAATAAAGATAAGAGAACAAGAAGTTAAATTCAAAGAGTCTCACATTAGCCCAAAAAACAATATATAAAAAATATATTAACAGATAAACACTTAAACCTTTTGCATTTTAAAATTCTGAAAGTACGGTGATCTAACTTCAAAATCCCAGAAAACTTTCAAGGAAGAAGCTAGTTGTATCTAAGTGATCAAAAATAAGAAAATAAAATTGTAAGATACAATTTATTTTTATTTGATTCAAATTATATGCTATGCATAATGGTCTTTATTTAGAAAATATTAAAGAAAATTGTTTAAATTCTTTTTCCATGCCTAGTGGAAACCTACTTTTTCTAATCATACTACGATTTCAACATTTGAACTTGCTTCACGTCGACATCTAAGTGAGACATATTAATTATTTATTTTATATTAAATCGTAGATTAATGGAATGTGAGACATGTGAAATTTTCTAAAGTTCCATTGCATCAAGGCTGTTGAAAATATTGTATTGAACGAGTCAAAAGTCATCGAATAATTTGGGCAACCAAAAATAATCTGATATATGACGAAATGCATTAAAATATCCTTGTTATTTTTTTTCGAAGTCTAGACATCTAGATAATACCACAGTATAAAAAGTATTGGGAGATTCATTAAAATATTATTTTGTCCTTCTTCCATGTATAGGGTTTAGATGAATCACCAAACAAATATAGTATTTTATTTAATTATAAATATTTCAATGGATCACTCACAACACAAAATAAAACATATATCGTCTTCAGCTGTTACTTTCTTACGTCAGTACTGTGGAATATAAAACATATAGCGCGATCGAGTAGATGGACCATTGCTATCAAAATATTATTGTAGCATAAATGATGATTGCATTATAAGTCTAGAAATTTTTTATGTGTGGAAGATAACAAAATTGTGCGATAATAAAAGAATTAAAAGAAAATTCTTCTCCATCCCTAAAATTAACAATTGTCTGTGGATTGTGCTTCAATCGTGGTATTTACAAAGATGAAGGCTCCATTTAGACCTAAGTTTTTCGAATTTTGAAAAAAAAATAAAAATTAGTATTTGATTTAACATTACGTGAGAAAAATATATATATGTATTTGACTTGATATGTTTTCTAAAAATGAACACTGTGAACTGAATAAAAGAGAATTGTGTATTAATTCTTGGAGGATGCCCTTAATTTTTATATATAGCATGGGGAGATTATTAATTTACGGTCAGCTGACCATTATTTTCTGCTTACCTTATAAAGATGATAAATATTTACTAATCCAGGTCCAGTCAGGGCACAGGACACACTTACTTGAGTGTCACTAACTTTTCTAGTCGCATACTTGTGCCTCTGCAGTCTGCATACAACACAATTATATATATAAACATATTTAAGTGTGAATTAATTCTTGTCCCTATGACCTATACAATTGGTCCAATTTATTCAACTTCGTTAATTGTTATTTTTTCCATCGCAAATTCATCATCGATTAATCAATTTCAAGAAATACATATTTAATTTATAATAATGTAATTTCAACTATCGATTAAATTATCAACCCATTGATATATATATTGTATATATATATATATATATTTAGTTATGTATATAGCCCGGCCTATAACCCTATGTATATATACGACGATGTACCCTAATTATTATTTTGAGAAATTCAATTAATCTTGATTATCCTAACACATGGTATCAGAGCCTGTTTGATTTATCCCTGTACAATAAAAAAATAACCTAACCGTTGTTTGTCTCAGATCCCCCGTTCCGATACTCTCTGACCGTCACTGCCACCACCACCAGATGTGCCGCCGTGAGATGAGCTAGCCGTCGGAAAATCATCCCAAACGGCGGCGCGTGCAGTTGCCACGCGCCCGACGAAGATTTCTCGCCGGACGCCTCGTCAGCGTGTGGGGGCGTATGCAGCGGCGGTTGCCGGATATTTTTAACTGTTGTGCTCGGCTTGTAATTTCTGTTCCAATGGTATATTCATTTTTTCGTTTTGAACAATATTTAATAATTGTCTGATTTTTCATGTTTTGGATTTAATTCGGTCTTCAGCCTGTATTTTTATCGATTCGATTTTTTGCTTGAGATATTATCTATTTATTTGGTATGAAAAAGATGGATGTTCATATTCCAATTGTTGAAACGTGACTTGGATTTAGCGGTCTACCCGACCCAAAACCAAAGTGAAAGGGCTGTTTCAATTGGCAGGGTTCCTTTTGGGTTTATCCTAATAGGCTTAGGGTTTAGGGTGTTTTGGAGTGCTTATAAATAGATAGCTATGGTTCTTAGTTGGATGACATAATTGTGAATCTTTTAATCAGTATAATAAAATCTTTCTGGTTCCTGCCCATGGACGTAGGTTGACACACCGTCACCGAACCACGTAAAACCTCTGTGTTCTTTAATTGTTTTCTTTCTCGTTTTCTCGTAACAAGTGGTATCAGAGTCATATCTCATTGATTGGAGATGTCCTCGTATAAGTTTGATCTGGAGAAGTTTAATGGGTCGAATGACTTCACGCTCTGGAAGGTCAAGATGAGGGCACTTCTGGTTCAACAAGGATGTGCGGCTGCGTTGGAGGGAGAAGAAAAGTTTCCTAAAGACACGAAGGAAGAGGTAAATAAGGAGATTTTGGCAAGGGCTTATTCCGCGATCTTGCTGTCAGTTACTGATGAGGTGTTACGGGAGGTTGTAGATCAGACAACGACTTTTGGGTTATGGAATAAACTGTGTGAGAAGTACCAAAGCAACTCTCTCACAAACAGACTATATCAGAAACAACGTCTTTACACCCTCCGGATGTCCGAAAGTACTCAGGTAAAGGATCATCTTGATACCTTCAACCGTATCATTCTTGATCTTCAAGGGGTCGAGGTTAAAGTAGATGATGAAGATCAAGCCCTAATTTTACTGTGTTCACTACCTGGTTCATATGAGAATTTTTTAGATACTATACTATATGGTAGAACTACAATTTATGTTAATGTTGTGAAATATGCCCTTATGTCCAAAGAATTAAAAAGAAAAGTTTCTCTGAAAGAGGGTTCTGGTTCAGGTCTGTTTGCTGGTAGGGGAAGACCCCATGAGAGGGGTAACTGGAATGGGAGGTCGCGTTCAAAATCAAAATCCTCTAGTAAAGTTACGTGTTATCTTTGCAAGGAGAAGATGCACGTTAAAAGGGATTGTCCACAGAAGAAGAGAAATACAAAAGTTGATTCTAGTAACAGTGGCAACAGTGCTGTTGTGGTACAAGACAAGTTCTGATGATGGAGACTTTGTTGAAGTTCTGACAGCGTGTAGTGCTAGTACTGCTGATTCCTGGATTATGGATACTGGTGCTTCTCACCATATGACGTTCTCTCGTGATCTACTCACTTCTTATAAGGAGTGGAATGGAACGGTGAAGTTAGGTGATGATGGGGTTCTAGCCATAAAGGGGAGCGGGATAGTGCAGATAAAATTGCATGATGGTACTGTCAGGAAATTTGACTGTTGGTATGTTCCTGAACTCAGAAAGAATTTGATTTCTCTTGGCACCTTAGCCAAGAATAGTTTAAAATATCATGGTGAAGGTGAGTGGGTGAAAGTCCTGAAAGGTGCTCTGGTAATGATGAAGGGAAAACTGCAGCATGAAATTTATTTTCTACAAGGCAGTTCAGTGATGGGAACAGCGGCGGTATCCCAGTCCTTGGATAAACATGATGACAGGTAATTTGTGGCACCGTCGATTAGGTGACATGAGTGAGCTAGGGTTGTCTGTGTGGAGCAAGCAGGGTTTATTTGGTGGGGATGTGATAGGTAAAATTCAATTCTGTGAGGCTTGTGTAAAAGGGAAGCAACGCAGGGTGAGGTTTAGTACCGGTCATCACACTTCAAAAGAAATTCTGGAGTATGTTCATTCAGATCTATGGGGTCCTTCTGCGGTGAAATCGCAGGGCGGGTGTTCTTACTTTGTCACTTTCATAGATGATTATACGAGAAAAGTCTGGTTGTACTTTCTGAAGACTAAAGATGAGGTGTTTGGGAAGTTCAAGGAGTGGAAGACCATAATGGAAAAACAGACGAATAAATAGGTCAAGACTCTAAGAACTGATAA